GCAACCTTGTCCACTGAGGTGGGTGCGGCACGGGGCCCTGTCGTCCTCCTGTGGCCCGCAGTGAAGAGCAACGGGTTGGGGGGGGGAATCTGTGTGTTGCCAATCTGCTGTTCACCCCCCGCCCCGTGCACAGATCCCAGTGGTGGGGGGCGGGGAGGTCACCACGGCGGCAGGGGGGGGGTCTGCTGGCACGGTCTGGAACGCAGGCAGTGAAGGCACTGTATATCCCGCAGGGCGGACGGGGCCGGTGCCGGGTCCCCTCGGGCCGTAGGCGCGTGGGACAGGTGGACAGAGAGCGGAGTCCGGAAGCACAAGACGTCACTGGTGACGCAGAAAAGCGGCACGAGGCTTTTGGAAGGGGGGCCAGGGCCGAGTCCGGAGGCCTGACCCAGGTGAGTCCACGTACGTAGCATCTAATAGGAAAGGACAGGGGCCGGAGCAGAGACCACGAAGCCCCGCCAGTCCAAGCTGGAATCCAACACGAGCAGCGATCCTGTCCGGCAAAGCTCAAGCAGGGAGAAGATTACGGATCCTAGAGGTTTCCTGGAGCTGCGTCCTGGCACGGAGTTCGTGGCCAACTTTCCCCTGCCCAAAATCCCGCCAGCCAGTGCACGATGCAGCGTATCTCCCGCCTCATCCTCCCCGTGGAAAGTCACGGATTCCTGCTAGGTTTATCTCATTAGATCCTGGGGGTTTTTAGTGTTTCTTTTTTCTTTTTTTTGGACTTTTTCCTTTTTTATAAAACCCGGGAGAAAAAAAAAAAAGCAAAAAACAATAAAATCAACCGTGGGGCTTTTTTTTGTAGGTTTTTGTGGCGGTTTTTTCCTTTTCTTTTAAAGCAACCCCTCCCCCGGAAAAAAATTCTTTATCCTACAGTGGCATTCAGGCGTGGAGAAGCGTCCGGAGGGGGGCGAAGAAACGGGCGGAATCGGTCGGGGAGCAGGACAACCAAAAACCCCTCAAAATAAAACTGATCAAACGTTGCATATTTTTCCTTTAAAAAAAAAGAAAAAGAAAGGAACGAAAAAGTAATCCTTAATTGACAAAAGAAAACGACGATTGTCCCAGAGATTCGAATCTGCAGCCTCGCCGCTCCGGGGCAGCCAGATCCACCCTCCTGGATCAAGCCTTTCCTCAAAGAACCACCCAAAAAAAAAAAAGGGCGGGGGGGTTCTTCAAAACAACGACCAAAAATAAACCAAACACTTTTTTTTCCCCCTCCTATTAAAATAGGCCTCAGTCCGTCTGTCCGTCCGCGCGGAGTGGATCTGGTGACCCAGCCCCCCCATTCCACCGCTTTGGTTCCTTGGTGAGCAAAGTCTATTGCCGGTTTTTTTTTTTTGTTGTTTTTTTTTTTACAAAACTGTTTTCTTTGCAAAAGAAAGAAACGAACGAAGAAAAAAAAAATTGGATTCGATCTTCTAGATGCAGCACAAATCAAAGAGGAGGTGGCGATCTCCCTCGGGGCGAGCGCTCGGAGCAGAGACGCCTGGTCCAGCTGACGAGAGAGAGAACAGTTCACTGATATAGGGGTTTGCAAAGAGCAGAGGGGACAGGCCCCATGTCCCATTCCCCATCCCCCTGAGCCAGCCAGTCTCCACCCTGGGGCTGGATCAGAGCTGGTGCCCCCTACAGGGGAAAGGCCCCATGTCCCATTCCCCGTCCCCCATAGCCAGCCAGTCCCCTGCCCTGGGGCCAGATCAGAGCCGGTGCTCCCTACAGGGGAAAGGCCCTGTACCCCACCCCCCCTCCCGCCCCGCCAGCCAGTCTCCTACCCTGGGGCCAGATCCGAGCCGGTGCTCCCTACAGGGGTCCCCCCCCCCCCCCCCCGCCCCCAGCCCTTACCTGCAGTTACTTGCTGTACTGATAGGAGTAGGCAGCGTGATCTGACGGAGACTCGACAGCCACTTGACTCTGCGGGCCGTTGTTCTCCTGAAAGGCAGGAGGTTAGGGGGGTGGGGTGACGCTGGCCCGGCCTCCCCGCCTGGCCCCCGCACCCCTATCCTGAGCAGCGAACGCGAGGCCTGGGGAGGGGGCACTGCAGCAAGTGGTGCTGGGAGATGCTCTTCGCTCCCAGCCAATGCCCCGTGCTGATCTGATGCCAGCTGGAGACAGGCGCACTTCCTGTCCTAGCCTGCCAGGGCAAGGTTGCTACAGGGGATCACTCACCCACCCAGAGGTGGCTGCATTTCAATGCTGGGTGGGTGAGTGATCAGAGGCTTGGCCGGTTAGTGAGGCGGAGGGGTGAAGGGGAGATTAGAACCCGCGGCCCCCAGGACTTCCACCCCCCGGCTGACAGATGTGGCAGGGGCTTGCCCCTCCAGCTGTGGCCCCAGCCTGGAACAAGGCCCTTACCTCAACTGAGATGCTGGAGGAAGGCACGGGCGTGTACTGAGGGATGTAAGCTCCTTGCATAGCTGCTGCCGCTGGCATGTACTGGGGAGGGAGAGAGGGGAGGTCAGGGGGCGGCTGGTGCCCAAAGGAGCCCAGGTCGGGGCCCTGGTGCCGGCGGACGGGGGCCTTACCGTGCCAGTGCTACTGAGGGAGAGGTGGCCCAGCTGCTGGGTCAGGGGGCCCATCATGGAGGCGGGCTGGATGGAAATGGTGTGGTCCATGGTCGGCGTCAGCACCGTCCCCTGCAGCAGAGAGGAGAGTGGTTGGAGAGCGGCCGAGGGGGGCTGGGAGGAGATGGACC